TTTCAAACTTGGAGAGAAATGACCCAATTGGTCACAGATAGGCTGGATCACAAACGCTGGCCCAGATCCAAAGATTACTTTTATTTTGTTTCACTCTTAGCTCAGGTGCCGAGTTAGGAAAAGATATAAAATCAAAGGTACATGAAGCAGAGGGGCTCACTTCCCCAGAGCCCCTCTTGTTCCTCAAGAAGATGTTTCTGAAATTTGGTGGTCTTGGCAGCCTACTGGGCTTGCTGCATTAATCTGTTTTGTTCAGGCTGCCATGGAGAACTAGAGAGGCAAAGTCAGTCACTCATGTTGCGCAGCTCATTGACGGCTGGCTGCAGAGTTCTCGAGGTCCATTCTTTTCACACCTAGGTCTGGCCTTTACTCTTGCACCACAGTTCCTTCTCCTCGCCCCTTCCAGCAGATTCTCTTCCTCTTGTGTGATAAGCTATGAGAAAGTGTGGTCATGGGACTTTTTCATTATTAGAGAGGCCCTTATTCTAGTTTGATACCTCAGAGGTCAAACCAGTAGGACTTTCATTTCCCTTACTTCCAGTAGGGACAGGAACACTCCTGTACCTATGTCGTTTTTTGAACAGGAGAGCCTTCAGCCAGAATGTGTACATCAGTTAACACTGCAAGAGAAAAAAATCCCTGAAACTTCTTAGATTCTAGCAAAACATACTTCCGATATCAGATGCGGCTCTCAAACTGCTTTCTGTTTTCTCTGACATAATGAAGCCTTTGGCCATCACTGCTGCTTTGAAAATCAAAGCCTTTGGTCTCTAATGGAATGTTTATAAAAATACTCCATTTTGAAATTTGCTCAGGAAAAGGAAGTATGATAAATGATTTTAGAAATCCCTCTAGCTTGCCTTGGCATTGATTCATTTAATGCTGTGTACTCTGGAAATATCTGGAATTAGAGAATAAGGAAGTATTAAAACCCAAGTTAAATAAGCTCTTATCCTCATTGTTTTCTTCCATGGAAGTATAGCATCAGTTATGCATCTCTAATTGCTATTTGTATATGAGCAAGTAAAGTGTCTTTTGCCAAATTTAATATCAGTATCTAGGGTAAGCCAAAAATGTGTCAGAAGTCTCATGCGTTTTCATTCTCTTCCTAAGGTGAAAGTGGAAAATTACTCTCAGTGGAGTGTAGAGCAGCACGCCTGTATAAAAAGAGGAGCTCCACTGTGTGTCTCATTCTCTGTTGCTTTCCTTGGTGTCAGTGACAAAAAGGAAATAAACAGTCGGACATATGGAACGTTTAGTTTACTAATATGGTGACTCCTGATACATGTGAAAGAGGCCCAAGGACCTTTGGATTATCCTATGGTGTTGCCTCTGTCTTAATGTAAAGCATTGATGTATCTTGAAGTAAGAAAATAACATTTATTCAAGAAATATTTAATGAGAAACTACTGTGTACCAAGTTGTAGGGAGCTAACCATGATTTCTGCTTTCCTGGAGCTTATGTTCTAATGAGAAAGAGACAGAAAACAGATAAACTACATGGATCAATTAATTTAGTTGATCAGTTCATTGACTTTCACTATATATATCTTTTGGTTTGCCCACCAGCTCAGGGTTCTTATTAGCATGGTAAAAAGGTACTATTCAAAGTATTATGAAGTATTGAAGTAGAACTTTGGAGAATTGAGGGCAGTGACCTTTTAGAAAACAGCAGCTCCATCAGTGACTCCTCCTGGCTTGTCCCTCTCAGATGTGCTTTGTTGTTGGCCTCTGTTGTTAGTTCTCATGCCACTTTGGCTTTCTCTCCAAAGTAATACAAAAATTACACTTAGGCTATCATTTTGACTTCAACTCAGAACATTTGTTAACTAACTTAAAAAAAAAAACATAATAATAAAAAATGAGGGGCATCATCAAATGTAGCATCATAAAATGATATTATCTCTGAATTTCAGGCTAAAACCTATAATAAGAAGCTGCTAATATTTTGGGAAACATTCCTTGTTTGTCACTACTGAGTCCCCAGGGACATCCTATGGGAATAGCTGACTTACTATCTAGTAACATTATTTGATTTTAAATCAAATAATTATTTAAAATCAAATAATTTTGATTTGATTTGATTCTTTTTCCTCATCTGAGGATCAGTTCAGTTCAGTTGCTCAGTTCTGTCTAATGTGACCCCATGACCCACAGCATTTCAGGCTTCCCTGTCCATCACCAACTCCTGGAGCTTCCTCAAACTCATGTCCATTGAGTCAGTGATGCCATCCAACCATCTTGTACTCTGTCGTCCCCTTCTTCTCCCACCTTCAATTTTTCCTAGCATCAAAGTCTTTTCAAATGAATCAGTTGTTTGCATCAGGTGGCCAAAGTATTGGAGTTTCAGCTTCAGTCCTTCCAGTGAATATTCAGGACTGATTTCCTTTAGGATGGACTGGCTGGATCTCCTTGCTGTCCAAGGGACTTTCAAGAGTATTCTCCAGCACCACAGTTCAAAAGCATCAATTCTTCGGCACTTAGCTTTCTTTATAGTCCAACTCTCACATCCATACATGACTACTGGAAAAACCATAGCTTTGACTAGATGGACCTTTGTTAGCAAAGTTATGTCTCTGCTTTTTAAAATGCTATCTAGGTTGGGCATAACTTTCCTTCCAAGGAGCAAGCGTCTTTTAATTTCATGGCTGCAGTGATTTTGGAGCTCCCAAAAATAAAGTCTGTCACTGGTTCCATTGTTTCCCTGTCTGTTTGCCATGAAGTGATGGGACCGGATGCCATGATCTTAGTTTTCTGAATGTTGAGTTTTAAGCCAACTTTTTTACTTTCCTATTTCACTTTCATCAAGAGGCTCTTTAGTTCTTCACTTTCTGCCGTAAGTGTGGTGTCATCTGCATATCTGAGGTTATTGATATTTCATCTGAGGATAGTTTTATTATAAAAATTGCAGAAATAAAAAGAAGTTTTATCTTGGTAAGCAAATTTAAAGCTGTCACTTTTGCTGTTTGCATTAACTAAACATGCTACACAGTTTTTCTGTTAAAAAATATGTGGGTTTGATTATGCCAGAGTAGTTACAATCAGGAACTCACAGTTTTGTTTTGTTTTTTTAACTCTTTGACTAAGCTGTGCAGGGTCTTTGGACCCTGACCAGGGATTGAACCCACACCTCCTGCATTGAAAGTATAGTCTTAACCACTGGACAACCAGGGAAGTCCCCAAACCCCACATATATTTTTGCTGAATGAACTTAAAGATCTTTATCTACCTTTTAAAATTCTCTTGCAGAAACTGCTGCTCTGTCAAATACCACCTTTACAAACCAAAATTATTTTTCTTTGGCAAAAAAGGAAAACCAGCCATCATTGATTTAACCAAATACTTGTAATTGTAAACTTTATCTTTAAAACAAGGAGGCTAGTTATTGTAGTTGCTTTTATTTTTGTTATACTCATGGTACCTGCTTGATTTTTAGAAGTTGAAGGGAGTATGCTCTTTTTGGGAGTTCAGTTAATTGCAGGGTATAGATGAATATTCAGCAGCCTGTCTTTTAAGGTCCTTTCTAATCCTGAGATTTTATGAGTCTATATTTACCTTTGCCCTTATTCTTATCCCTTAGTGACAAGAGCAGGAATCATGTTAGGGGAGAGTTGGGGAGTGAATTGGGCTTTAGTTTAGGAGGAGGTGATGGGTGTTGAGTGGGAGTCATAGAACTTACAGTGGGTGACTCAAAGAGGTACAGTTACTGTTGACTCCCTCTCCTTTTTTTTTTAATACTTAGTACATTTTATTAATTTTAATTATTTTTGTAATTAGGGAAAAAAAGAAATATAAACCCATAGATTAAAGCAGTTTTTAAAAATCACCTTCTCTTAAGTACCTTGCTCCAAACAGACAATCCCTGAATTCTTCAAGATGAATCTCTATTTAAGTCATTGAAAAGATGATTAATAAAAAGCCTTCTAAAATACTTTTGTGGAGAGAAGTTATTTTTCATGGGATTAGAATATAAAACCCATGTTTATTGACTCCTATGAAGCAGTTTCCTGAAAGATGAAATTTTCCTTGGTGGTCAGATCAGATAGAATTTAAGGTAGATGTTTTAAGTCCCTTGGATCTGGACAGTCCTACCAATCATTTTATCATCAGCTCCAAATATATCAGCAGCCATACTAGGTGCTCAAAAACTGCTTTCTGAGCCAAACCCAGTACCCATTCTTAAGGGAATAGTGAACACAAGATAATCCCAAGTGAGAGGAGTGAATTATTGTTGTGTTCTTTTTCTCATACTTTTCAGAAAATCTGAAAATGTTTTTATGTGTATTACATTGGAACCTCAAGCACTGGCTTTGTATCTCAAAGTTGGAAGAAATGAGATTGATGTCCCACACAGTTGTAAAATGCCAAAAATAAGTAGACCTGAAATGAGTTAAAGCCCAGTATTCAGAAAGGCCAAGTAAAAACTTCAGATCAAGGGTAGCTGTAATTGAAAGGGTCCAAATAAGTATTTAAAACCACTCCCTGCTGGAACTGCTAAGATTTCTGAATTTCAAATTGGCATTTTATGTTTGACAAGGTGACATTGTATAAGAAATGTATTGTAAAACACTGCTGTACAATAGGAAAATGATTGAATGTAAATATTTCAAGATGTGGACCACTGTTCAAATGTTATCATAAATCTTTGCCATTGTTTTAGGGTATAACTCTTCATGCATATATGAGCTGAATTGATAGCGCCAGCTCTTGGGGAGGGAAATCATCAGCAAGTTTCTGCCTCGCTGTCAGCACTAGTGTGATTTGACCACAGAAGTATCCTGTTAGGTGTTTCCTGTTATTATCATATGCTTGTAATTATATAAATGGGGAAACCCTCTTTTGAAGATACTACATCTGTCCTTGCTCTTATCCTGTTCATTGAGCAGTCTGAAATGGCACTGTTACATGAAATTAGGATGGGTGGACACAGTTTGCACTCTTAAACTTTAGAAAGAAGAAAGCTTAAACTGTAAGGTTAACTATCCTCCCATTCCTTGCAGGTTTGGAAGGTTTACAGTGGCTGCTCTGCAGTCCAAAGTAGAGCAGTACGAACGTGAAACCAATCGTCTCAAGAAAGCGCTGGAACGAAGTGATAAATATATAGAGGAACTGGAGTCTCAGATTACACAGCTGAAGAATTCAAGTGACGAGAAGGAAGCGATGAATGCCATTTGTCAGAGAGCACTTTCTACAGACAGCAAAGGGAACAAAGGCACCGAGGAGGATATGGCATCCAAGAACCAAGGTGATGGTGCCAGAAAGCAGCTCGGCTCAGCCCCCTCGAGTTCTCATCTGGCAAAACCTTCTAGCAGTTCTGTCAGGCAGGAAGGCACCGGCAAAGCAGAAGCAAACTGTTCTAAGAACCAAGACCTGTATCAGAAGCGAGTGGAAACAATGCTCACTGTGACAGATACAAGTATGGATACCTATCTGGAAAGAGAATGGGGAAATAAGCCAAGTGATTGCGTGCCCTACAAAGATGAAGAACTCTATGATCTTCCAGCTTCCTGTACTCCTTTGTCCCTTAGTTGTCTTCAGCTCAATACGCCAGATAATAGAGAGAGCTCTGTGGTCAAAGCAGGAGGGTCTAAAAAGCAGTCAAACCATCTCAGAAAATTGATGTTTGATGATTTCTGTGATTCTCCGAATGTGTGTAATAAAGATTCTTCAGAAGATGATAGAAGTGAGAGTGAAAAGAAATCAGAGTGTTTTACTTCCCCAAAGACAGGGTTTTGGGATTGTTGTTCCACAAGCTATGCCCCCAGCTTGGACTTTGAAAGCTCAGAGGAGAACACAATAGCAAATTGTGTTGGAGAAATTTCTTCAAAATTGAGTGAGAAACCAGGTTCATGTTTATCCAAGAGGTTGAATTCTCTCCGCTCTTTTGAAATGAATCGGACAAGAACATCCAGTGAAGCATCAATGGATGCAGCTTACCTTGACAAAATCTCGGAGCTGGATTCAATGATGTCAGAGTCAGACAATAGCAAGAGCCCCTGTAATAATGGTTTTAAGTCGCTGGACTTGGATGGGTTATCAAAGTCATCTCAGTGCAGTGAATTCCTTGAGGAAACAGATAAGTTGGAAGAAAGAACTAAACCAAACCTTTCTAAAGGTTCTCTGACTACTGATCAGTTAGAAAATGGAAATGAATGGAAACCCAATTCTTTTTTTCTCCTCTCTCCATCTGACCAAGAAATGAATGAAGATTTTTCACTCCATTCCAGTTCAAACCCAGGAACCAATGAAATCAAACCACCAAGTTGTTTGTTTCAGACTGAGTTTTCCCAGGGTGTTTTGCTAAGCAGTACAAACCGGCTATTTGAGGATCAAAGGTTTGGGTCATCTTTGTTTAAGATGTCCTCAGAGATGCCTGGTCTTCATAACCACCTTCAGTCTCCTTGGTCTACTTCTTTTGTGCCTGAAAAGAGGAATAAAAATGTGAATCAGTCAGCAAAAAGAAAAATCCAGAGCAGCCTTTCCAATGCCAGCCCATCAAAAGCAACTAAAAGTTGACAAATTAGAAAGATGTCATTTATGTTTTTGTCCTGAGAGGAATATAAGGTTTTAAAGTTACTTTTTTTTTCCCCTCATGAAAGCTCTGTACAATTTTGAATTGATAATCTTTAGTCAGGTGTCAAGTCAGAATGGTGGATTAGCCTGTACCCTGGATACTTTTGTTCATTTTGAAGAGTTAATCTTTTCATTTCCATTTATTGATCTGTTTTGACCAGAGAAGTTAGGGAGAGGGTTCGTTTTGTGTCTGGTTTGGGTATATTTTGTTTTCTTGAATCTTGATTTATCTATTCAGATACAATGACCTATTAGTAAGCCTCAGTTATCTTCAGAATTTGGATTTCTTAAATAAAAGCTTTGGTGCAGTCTATATACTGTTCATAAGACACTTTTCTTTAAAGCTTCCTAGGGTGGAAATTACTTTTCCTGCCCCTTTTTATTTATGTTTAGTGATAGTCTAACTTTTATTCAAGGCCACGATGGAGAAACAGCACTCAAACCTTAGTCCAATATTCATTGGCTCTTTTTTTAGGTTTTACATATATGTTTGCATTTTTAACAGTGTGTTTTGTCTAGTCTTTGTGAAAATGTGTTGCTAGTAAGAGAGAATACATTTTCTGTATGAAAATATTTGTTTTTTGTCCGGTAGCTTTCATTCTTTTACCTTTTTGTGTGTGTTGAAAGTCAGAAATTTGCCTACTTTAGCAAGAAGGCAGGGAACAGTTGGTTTGGAGAAGATTAAACATGGTAGCTTTTCATTATTTCAGATAGGTGCAAAAGCATTCATTGCCAAGTTCTTGATCCACTTATGTCCCAGGAGAGCTTTCTTTGGAGTGGTAAAGTTCTTGTTTGCATGTTACTGTTCTTTATGGAAACTCGGTATGCATGGTAGTGGTCTTGCTTGCACTGTTTTACTTACTTAAGAAAAAGAAGTTTCAGTTGGCTAAAAGATTATCTTTTATGTAGGACAAAAAAAAAAGATTGTTTTTCATGAAGAGTGTTGAGAGGAGGGTGAAAATAGGTGAGCTAAGCACAATTTTTAATTTAGGTTCTTAAAAAGTATATTCTAAACATGTTTGGTATGCCTGTATAGGCCTTTAAAAATGGTTTGTATGTTAATGACTTGTTTATCTAATGTGCACTGAACATTTTACATTAATACTGTACTGTTTTACATTAATACTGCATGCTTTTCTATGTGAACTGAATAAAGGATGTCATAAACACTGTAATCCTTCATGTTGTCCCATGTTGAATTAGCCTACAAAGACCAGTACAACTTAGCAGTTTTTATTGTATTGCTCTTATTATACAGGGGTTGGCAAACTGTGGCCAATGGTCCCAATTCTGACCTGTGCCTGTTTTTGTGAAAGGCCTGTAAACCAAAAATGTTTTATACATTTTTAATGGTTTTTAAAAATCCAAAGAATATTTCATAACACAGGAAAATGATATGAGGTTTAAATCTCAATATTTCTAGACAAAGTCTTGTTCGAACACAGCTACACATTTTACATTTTATCTGATAGGACTGCTTTAGCACTGGTAGAGCAGAGCTGAATAGTTGCAGCAGAGACCATATGGCCCAAAAAGCCTAAAATATTTACTATTTGGCCTTTTACAGAGAAATTTGCTGACCTTTCTTGTAATTGACTCAAGATTCAATGAAACCATAGAAGTATAAAAAAATCACTTTTATGAGTTCAAAAATCATGACCTCTGCTTTTAGAAGTAATAAGAATCTCCCCCACCCCCCACCACCCCGACAAAAGGCTTAATGTAAAGTGTAGTTTTTGTTCTATCATATTTTTTCCAATAAGTATTTGTGCATGACTTTGTCTTTCTGATAATCTTTAAGTTAGTGGGTAAACTTTCATAGATACTGCCATTTAAATATCTTTGACAATTGGATATGCATTTGAAGTTCTATTAAATGTAGAAATCTAAAATCTTTCTGAATAGAGTAAACTTGGGGGTAAACCTCACTCTAATTCTGTCTGTAATTTTTTTTTTTCACCATGAGTGTGTTAGTTTTTAATACAAACTGACACTGTGTCATGGAAATGCAGAGTGTGTAGCCTGATTGACTAATGCCTAATGGGGGTGAGGGTGTCTCTCTCGGGCTGGAGTATTTCCCAGCTGCTTCAGAAACACTGCTTCATCCTCTCCAAAACACTATCTCATGTATCATATTAAAATAACCTGACATTACTCAATTAAAGGAAATAATCTGTGCAGGATTTGATTTTAATGATCCTTCACATTTGTACTCCTAACCTCTTTACCATAATCTCAAATGTCATGACAGATATGGTAGTCTCATTTTGTTGTTGTTTAGTCGCTCAGTCATGTCTGACTCTTTTACGACCCCATGGACTGTAGCCCACCAGGCTCCTCTGTCCATGGGATTTTTCAGGCAAGAATATGGGAGTGGGTTGCCATTTCTTCTCCAGGGGAACTTCCTGACCCACTGATTGAACCCGAGTCTCCCGCATTGACAGGCGGATTCTGTACCACTGATCCACCAGGGAGGCCCAGTCCCATTTTAAAATGTATCTATTGTATATACACACTCAAAAGCTACCTTTTATTGATACCAGGTACTCTACTAGCCTCTGTCTTGTGTAATCTTTTCAAACTCTGTGAGCCAAGAATTTTCTCCAGTTTACCAATCAGTGAATTGAGAATTAGTGATCACACAGCTAGCATGGGCTTAGAACCCTGTCCTGGAGCTGGGCCTCAGACTCCAGAGGTTGTAGCATTCATCCCTCAAGCATCAGATGCATGGGAGCTCACATTTGCAGGCCAAAGGATGAATGGATTTGAAATTTCCAAGGATTTTTTTTTTAAGTAGTATTTTGGAAGTATTAGCATGTTTCTTTTCAAGTAGCGTTTAACTCCTGCCCATGCCCTGGATCTAAGGCTGCTCCTAAATGGAAGCTCAGGGATGGGAATTGTGTGTGTGCCACTTTTAAGTTTATAAAGATTCACATTAATTCCGACATTTAGATGAATTTCAAAATAGCACTAAGGCTATATTTGAAAAAGATGTGCAAGTGATAAAGGGAAAAGACATCACTTCATGTCTTTATAAAAACAGTACCTTTTGACTGCTCATCTCGCTATAGCTAAGCGAATGTGGCAAGATGCTAGGTATTTTTTTGACATGACCTTTAGTGTTTATCTTTTAATGTTTAAAATCTCCATCCCATTCAAAATTACATGTCTTTTTCCTGTTTTAATGGATCAACTGAGACTTAAAACGGCAGACGTTAAGATATATAGTCCCTTAATATCAAATCTGCTGTGTTTTCTTATAAACTCATATTTACACTGGTTTGAAACCTCTAAAGGTACCACTGAACAAGGGAAGAACTTTGGTCTTGATTCTTAAGATGTTTCAGGAACTTGTTTCTATATACTTGAATGGTATTCAATTATTCAAAGTGTAATTCATGCATTAGAATTTCCCTTCCTCATTTTTGTACCTGTGGATGATATTTGTAGAGAACAGTTTCATTTCATGGAGTTTGGCCTATTAGATTAGAAGGGTTTCCTGAAGCCTCATAAGAAGGTCTCTGTTCCTATTCTAGGGAGTCCTACCACAGTCTTTGCCTATCATGATGTAACCCGATCCTTTTAGTAATACTTGGCAGAGAGAAAACCTTTTAAGCAATGATCTCAGAGTGCATAGTGAACATTTATTGCCTAATTCTCGGAACCCCACTCAGAGAGGAAGCATCTATTAAGTTGCAGTTTTCTTTTAAGGACCCATCTGAAGCTTAGGCTTGGTTGATCTTCAGTCTGCTGTGACAGAGGCAGTCTAGAATACCTTTGATTGAAGCTCCACTTCTTGAAACTAGGTACATTCCTAGGTCTGATTTGTCTTAATAGGGAGTAGATCCTCTCTAATGTTAGTTGGATTAACCAAGTGTGTAGAAGTGTGTGCCTAATGTGACACATAATTTGAGGATGTAAAGATCCAATACCCTAGGGCAAGGATTTCACATAGACATAAACCAAGGAGGACCTAGGTCCGGCCCACTTTAATTCTTCTATAAAATTGGTGAGTACAAAAGTGTCTGCACCGGGGATAGCCTGGAGCAGAGAGGAAAGCTGATGGCTTCCGAAGCGCTATTTGTGTTGGGTCTTTAGGATGGATAAGAGCTTGATGCAGAAGAGAACATCGACTTCTGCGTGTGTACCCGCTATCCTGCCAGTGGGCGCCTATTCCCAGCCGTCACGGAAGAGGTGCTGAAGAAACCCAAGTCGGGCTCCCGATGGACAAAGACTTCCCGATTGCTTCAGCCTGCGCTGCCAAGTTTGGCTTTGGTCCGCCGCCTCTCTCTGGGCGTCCCCTGAGACTCCAGGCTCGCCCTCGCCGCTAGAACCGGCGGCCGGCCGGCGAGACTGTGACTCCCTGGGCGCTGGCAGGCTCAGGAGGTGGCAGGGCTGGGCCATCATCTGCCCATTAAGCCGAGGCTTGGCGCTCCGAGGGCCGGAAGGCGCGACCTCGCTTCACTCACCGGGTCATTTGTGCTGGGGGCGGGGAAGTGAGGTCTGGCCCGTCTGTCTGGGCTGCGATCCCGCTTTCTTCCCTCTGGTGCCGGCGAACCCCTCCTTCCCGGATTCTCGAAGCCAGTGACGCTCCCCCACCTCCCCAAGGCTCCCGGGACAACAGACCTGCCCGCGCCCCTCCAGCTCGAGTTTCCCGCGCTCTTGAGGGCGCTCTCAGAAGCTCCCGTTCAGGCTCCACCCAGAGAAGGGACCCGGGCCGAGGATTCCTTTCATTTTATTACTACTCGCGAAACCTGGCGATTAAGACGCGAAACCAACAAAGAGTTTTCTTTCCACCTTAACCTTGCACACAATCCTTTAACAAATTAATTAATCCTAATGAATTAACACTTCATTTATTTAAACGCGCTACAGTCCATGAATTAAATTTTCATGCAGTGATTAAAGGCTGTTAAAATATGCATGATTTCGTTAAAATTTTATAATAAATCAGGGCAATGTGTTACATGACAAGGCAACTATTTCCCAGTCCCTCGCAAGGGGCTTTGATTTGTGCAGGCGGCGGGGAGGAGGGGCGGCTGATGACGGCGCGGGCGAGCTTTGGAGCCGGGCGGCAGGACCCAGCTCCGCACCTCGGCGTGCGCACTCGGCTTAGCGCTCTGCTCCGCGGCGTCGGGACCCTCCTGGGGATCCCGCTCCCGCAGGCAGAGCCTAACCTGCGGAGTGCGATGGGCGCTCGTCTCTCCGTCCCCGGAACTGCACTCGCGGGGGGCTGGGGGTCCTCCGGTTTCCTTTAGCTCGCGCGAGCGCGCGTTTGGGTAGGAGCGCTGCGCCGGCGGCTCTCCGGGGACAGGAAGGCGACACAACTTCCATCTCGTCGTGTGGGGTCAGGGAAGCGGGTGTCTGCTGTAGAGTTGATGGGTTGGTTGCTGTTCTTAATTAACCAGGAGACCTCGAAGCCCCTTCTCTGACCAGCGCGATCTCCCTTTCCGGAAGGGGCCGGGGCGGGGGAGCTCTGCTTCCTTTGGGACCTAAACCCCAGGGGCCCCGTGACCAAGCTTAGCGATCCCACCCTTGTCACTCGGACAGCGAAACTGGTCCTGGCAACTAGCGGGCGGGGGAGGCCGGCCCCTGTCAGGACGGAGACGTGGTCGTGCATCATCCTTAGGGCTTTCACAAGGTAGGTGGGTTTAAGTCCACCGCGGGGTTAGGGTGGAGGTATATATACATAGATATCTACAAATGTACCGGCCAAGAGTAATAATGACCGGCTGTGAACTTTACTGCCTCATCACCCAGGTCGCAAGTGTATCAGGGAGTGGGGTGGTCGCAATGTTCCCAACGGACGTTGCCTTTGAATTAAACGGCCAGAGGAATGAAAGCAGTGGGTTATCCATCGGCTTCCTCGAGAACCTACGCCGCAGGTCCTAGCCTGGAGCTTTACAGGAGCTGATCACCACCGGCCTCAGTAACTCACCCACGGCCTTTTGGGACCGAGCGGGACAAGAGGCCAGGGTGCGGGTGGGAGAGGAGGTGGAAAAGGAAGGAAGAGGCCTTCGGGAAAGTACGAGAGCCTGGCTGTGGACTCGCGCCTTGAGTTGGGCTGGGACTCGGGGATGGCACAGGACCCGGCACCCGCCCAGGACGGCCTGGCGGGCAGAGCGGGCCGGGCGGGCCAGGAGCCTGGTTCTACCCCGCGGGAGGGCTGGGCCGGGATGCGCGAGGGGTGGAGAGGCCCAAGGTCAGAGCAGCCCAGCCTTGGCGCTCGCACCGCCGCCCGGAGGGGAAGCGAAAGTCCGGCAGGAGTCCCTCCTCCGTCCCACCCTTCGGACAGATGGTGTCGGAGGGGAAGGGGGTCTAAAGACCAAGTGCATTCCCTCCTCCAAGGACCGACCCCCCACCCCCAAATTCTAGGCCTGCTACTTCCCTGCTGACCAGTTCAGCCTCATCGCTGAAGGCAACCCAGGAGGCCTCGGAAGCCGGCCAACTCCCGGCTCTGGCGACTTTCCCCAGCGCAGGGCGCCGGCTGCGCAGTGAATGGGCCGAGTTTCTGGGCAGGAGCCCAGAGGAAACGGGGCGCCCCGGGTCTGCGAGGAGCAGAGCTCCCTCTGGGGCCGCCCGGGCTTGTAGGTTGGCCCAGCTCCCCGGGTTTGGGCAAGAACGTGGGGTCCGACCTCCTCCACTTGTACACACACAATCTCCACTCACTTCAGTGGACATCCCTCAGGACCGCCCCCACCCCCATCCCCGTCCCTGAATGTGGATTAATAAATCGGGTTCAACCCCACCGGGGGTGGGGGGGGTAGGGGCAGACTGTCCCCGCGCTCCTCTGGAGAGAGAAAGGCTGCCCCGCGAGTGGCAGCTGTGGAGCAGGCGGGGTGGTCAAAGGCGGGGGGCATTCACCCCCGGCTGGTCCCTCCCTTGCGCCGCTTCTCTCCCGCCGGTGTTCACTCCCACCGACCAACGTCTGCTCCCTGGGTTGGAGAAAGAGGCGCTGCCAAAGGAAACGTGAAGTGGGGCCTGCCAAAGAAGGAGGAGAAAATTAATTAATGAGGGAAAGAAATGTGTCTCTGATCCAGATGATAGACTCCCTGTCCCTGGGGGCAGAAATTCCTTGGAAATCAATAGCTGTGCATTCATTACCTCCCTCTTGGTAAACTGCAAAGCTATGAGATGGGGAAGGAGGGAATCTGTGCTGGTCATTAAACAGGGGGAAAAAAAAAACCTGCCCAGAATTCTATGCCAGGGCTCTGATCCCATGAGGGTATCACCAGTTCAGGCGTGGGCCATCCAGTTACTGCAGTCGCCAAACCTGGAAAACAAAGCAGTAACATGGATGGACTGAGCCCCAGTTGGCCACCCTTTCTTTTCACTGCTCTGGGGAACGTAGGGAAAGGCTTGATAAGATCCAAGGAACTGCCGGCAGATCCACCACCGTCTCCCACTCTCTAGCCTGGAACTAAGGCCCGGCAGGGAACTGGTAGGTTAATTCTCCCAAGCATCATCCCCCACCAAGTCCCTCTCTTTGCACCTTGGTCTTGCCCTGGACCACAAAGAAACACCCCTTCACCTGTAGCTACCCCACTATCATAGACTGCCTAGAGGGCAGATACCTGGCTTTTGTACTTCATTTAATCTCCAGTGTCTTGCCCTGGCCGAGATGGGTGCTCAGCAAGTATTTGAGGAAGGAAGGTAGGGTAGAAAGTAAATGAGGGAGGGATGAAATAAATTATTTTGGAGAAAGAGCTGTCTGGAATCAAGATACGCAGCTCTACCTGGGGACAGCAGGCCCTTCTGTTCAAATCCTCTTCCCTTTTTAGGTAGAGAGGAGACCCCTTCAGTGATCTTCCCTCTGGCCCCCCTCCTCACCGCCCCCCACCCCAATGACCCTGGCTTGCTGAACTTCTTTTTGCTCCCGCCCCTCCCCATCTGCCTTCTCTTACACACATGTATTGTTCTATGGGGCATTTTCCTAAGTGCCAGGGTACACACAGATGTGCTCTAAATGGGCTTCCAATCCGTTATTGGGAGGGGTGGGTAGTGACTTGGTAATTGTACCCAACCCTGGAGAAAAGTGAGATACTCTGGGCAAAGATCTGCCCCCCATCCCCAACTGGGCCAGTTCACTCAAGTGAACTAGGAGTCTCAACAAGATGGTGAACTCTTGCCCTCAGGCCAGGGACTTACCAGTGGGCTAGTTGGTACCCTCTTAGAATTGGAAGGTAAACTGAGATGGGCTTCGGGGACTCAGGAGACCCCCCCCCCAACGCAGAGTCCATGTAGCCCCAAACCGTACAGTCCATGTAGCTATTTAAATTTGTTTCCCCCCTGCATTCTTTGGGGTCCCTAAAAGCCACTGTTTCCCTAGGGGGTGGGGGAGACAGGATCTAGGCGCTCCTCCTCTGCGGGGCCCTTCCTCCACCCCACCCTCCGCCACCCACCCCCTCCCTCGCCGGGTAGCTCAAGGAACCGCAGCCATAGGTGTCAGGAAGGATTAAGTTAAGCCTGGACACCCTGTGCGACGACTACCGTAGACTCACTCGCTCCCTCCAGCGATGTCCTGCTCGCAGTCCTTTCCCCGTAGAGATAAAGTTGCATTTAGCAGTCCCAGGGGACAGCGTAATGGATGAAAACAAGGTTCCTTCTCACACTAGCAAGTGAGCATCCTTCTTACTCCCCTCTCGAGCTGCAAGGGGGTGGGGGAGAGAGAAAGGTAGCGAGAAAAGAAAAGAAAGAGGAAAAAAGCCCTGGTGACGCCTGTGGGCTGTTCTTGGAATGTGAGTACTGAATGGGTCCGCTAAACACGCTCGCGTTTATCCAGAGATCCACGGGAACGCAAATTAGGCTTATAGAAATGAATCTAATCTTTGGTGGAAATACCGATCTCCTTGGTGTGAGACAGACCAGAAAGATTATCTATCTGATCTCTGCCTCCCACAAGCAGCCCCTTGCCACTCTCCAGCTCTCTTGCCGCAGATGCGATAACATCTGGGCTGTTATTATCACCCTGGGCAAGCGCTGAGCCCCTGGGGACTCGGGCACCTGAACTGGGTTCCCCCAGGAGCCCCTTGATCTGTCTGCCACATAAGAGCCATATAGCAGGTTGGCTAATTGATTTATTCCTCTTACGTTTTGATTTCATAATAAAAAAATAAAAATAATAAAAAATAAAAATAAAGGCTGGAAGAGAGCTTGAGTCCGGTTCTTTTAAATTGATTTGAATTAATTTTTTAATCATGCTTTTCTATAAACTGGCTTGATTCTGTCTCCTAGTGAAGAAAAAAAAGTGTGTGTATATACATCTATCTATAGATAGATGCATAGAGAAAGAGGCAAACAGTCCAACACGATGTAAGGGAAAATAAAGCTCTCTTCAATATCTTATTCCCTTTTCTCTGAAGCGATTTCCTTTTCCTGGAGTTTCCAACATGAAGTGTGTGTGAGTGTGTGAGTGTGTGTGTGTGTGTGTGTGTGTGTGTGTGTACGCTGAAGCGAGGTAAGGATCCCAACTACACCCTGTAAACTGTTTTTCCTTTTGATTACAAGAAGCCTCAGATCACCCGGAGCTCGTTTGAAATGTGGGTTTGTACACGGTTAAAGCAGACAAACAATAAGAGAAATTCACAATTTCATTTCAACAGCCGTTCCCTGGTAGAAAGCACACGCTCCTTGTGGCTCCTAAGTGGCTGTCACTGTCGGTGCCTGATACAGTTATAGTCGCAACAACAACAACGAAGTGTGCGGAGGAAATTAAATTATATGGAAATCAATACCAGCTGACTGCTTCAAACAAATGTCTGTCACCGCGATTATTCTCCAGGAACCTATTTATAAACCATGAAAAGAAACAGGTTCTTGCAGCAAAAGACAGCACCTTCTGCATTCTGTGTTATTTATACTGTATACAGAGGAACGCGCGGGCATAATTTAACATACAAATGCTCAGTTGTATACATTATATAACAGCTTGTTAGACGTCCCCGAGAGGAGGTGTGCCCGAGTGATGCGCATATATTCAGGGCTAGCAATCTGGGTCCGGGCTCGGAGGTGGGAGGGAAACCATCTAGGGGCCAGCGAGCATCTTGTCTTTCTCCCCCCTAAAAAGTGCCTACCCTCAGACAATAGCTGGCCCTTTTGATCTTCTCCAGACCCGCGATGGGAAAGGTGAGGCGTGCAGTGCGCATGTCCGGGTAGCTACAGGTGCATCACCTGCGCTGTCCTAGCCGGTGGTCACTATAAGAGCGGCTCCCACGCGCCGGTCGCGGCCCGGCGAGCGCGCGCGCGCGCAGACGCAAGGCGCCGCCGAGAGGGAGAGCGCGCATCAGACAGACGGAGACAGCTGATGCCTGTCAGCACGGCTGGCCCGCGAGCTCTCGCGAGAGCTCCCCGGACCGGCCGCGAGAATTGGGGCTCAGGTGTAAGAGGAGTGCATCCCGTCGGCGCACGGGGCTAGAGCTCGCGGAGAAGTGGGATCGCGAGGCCGGTGCGCGGCGATCTGCGCGGTCAAAGGGAGTGCGAGGCGAGAGCGGCGGCGGCAGAAGCAGCAGCGTCCCCCGGCGCTTGCGCCGCCTCCGCGCCGCCAGCCGCCGCGGCTGCAGCCTCCGAAGCGAGGCCGGGGGAGCCGGCGTGCGCACTTTCCCGCGGACTTTCGGAGTTGTGGATTTACATGCTAAACCATCAAGATGATGTCCATGAACAGCAAGCAGCCTCACTTTGCCATGCACCCCACGCTCCCTGAGCACAAGTACCCGTCGCTGCACTCCAGCTCCGAGGCCATCCGGCGGGCCTGCCTGCCCACGCCGCCGGTAAGCGCCCCAAGCCCGCGGACCCGGCCCGTGCGCCCGCCCCCTCCCCGTCTCCGAGACGCTGCATGTCGGGTACTGATATGTGCACAGATCCCGGTGCGGGGATTCGCGGGCGGGGATTTTTAGAAGAATCCCGCTGCGAGGCAGGCTTTGTACCGTGGCGCTTAATGTCAGGTTCCCGTCGCCTCCGCCTCCGTGTCGGGCGCCGGCGATCGGAGTGGGGAGCGCTGGGGCCAGGTCTCTCGACTTCCCTCCACTTTCTCTGTTGATTTCATGCCTTGGAAAGGCGGTCTCTGTGCGTGTTCGGGTGCGTGACACGGTCCCCGGCTGCGAGTTACATCTTCATTTCTTCTTCTTTCCCCCTCCTTTTTCGTCTTTCACTCCCGTCCCCGGAATGTGTCCCCATGTCCCTCTCTCCTCTGCATCTGCCCCCCTCTCCGCACACGCCCGTCCCTTCTCGTCTGACCCCCTATCTCGTCCCCAATGTGTCCCTATTCTGTCTTTCCCGGTCTCCACTATCCCCACTCCCGTTGTTATTATTTTGGTTGCTTTGTGTGTTGCCTTTGGCTCGCTGTGCTTTCCGGCTTGTGTGGTTTTGTTCCGTGTTTTTGCTTTTTTTTTTTGGTTTTGTGTTGTTGTTTTTTGTTTTGTTTTTTGGTTTGGTTTGTGTCGCCTGCAGCTGCAGAGCAACCTCTTCGCCAGCCTAGACGAAACGCTGCTGGCGCGGGCCGAGGCGCTGGCGGCTGTGGACATCGCCGTGTCCCAGGGCAAGAGCCACCCGTTCAAGCCGGACGCCACGTACCACACGATGAACAGCGTGCCCTGCACGTCCACGTCCACCGTGCCGCTCGCGCACCACCACCACCACCACCACCACCACCAGGCGCTCGAGCCCGGCGACCTGCTGGATCACATCTCGTCGCCGTCGCTCGAGGCGCGGCGGGCCTGGCGTCCATCTGCGACTCGGACACGGACCCGCGAGAGCTCGAGGCGTTCGCCGAGCGCTTCAAGCAGCGGCGCATCAAGCTGGGCGTGACGCAGGCCGACGTGGGCTCGGCGCTGGCCAACCTCAAGATCCCGGGCGTGGGCTCCCTCAGCCAGAGCACCATCTGCAGGTTCGAGTCGCTCACGCTCTCGCACAACAACATGATCGCGCTCAAGCCCATCCTGCAGGCGTGGCTGGAGGAGGCCGAGGGCGCGCAGCGCGAGAAAATGAACAAGCCCGAGCTCTTCAACGGCGGCGAGAAGAAGCGCAAGCGGACTTCCATCGCCGCGCCCGAGAAGCGCTCCCTCGAGGCCTACTTCGCCGTGCAGCCCCGGCCCTCGTCCGAGAAGATCGCCGCCATCGCCGAGAAACTGGACCTCAAAAAGAACGTGGTGCGGGTGTGGTTTTGCAACCAGAGACAGAAGCAGAAGCGGATGAAATTCTCCGCCACTTACTGAGGGGGGAGATGGGAGGGACCGGGCGGGGCAGAGCTGGGAGCCGAAGGGGCATTTCGCCGGGAGGGGGGCCTTCCCCGAGCCTGCTTACCACCATCAGCCCCCACCTCCCCCGGATTTAGAGCGGCCGTTATCCTGCTTGCATTTGAGGAGTACCTCCTCGAGCGCTCCTTCTCCACCTCCCCTCTGCTCTCCCCGTCCTTACCCTCCCCAGCCTAAAAGACTGGGTGCCCGGTGTGTACACGGGAGAGTAGGGTGGAGGTGAAGGGGGAGCACTTGGGGGAGGCGGAGTGGGGGGAAGGAAAGAGGAGACTGGAGAAGGGGGTTTGAGGAGCAGGATGGTTCTGGGGGTGAGGGTGGGGGGAGACGGGAAGGGTAGGGAAATGGACTGTTTTTGACCAGAGACACTTATCAGAATCTCCTGGGGACCAAGGAACAATGTACAAAAAACCTACCAACCACCAAAAACTAGACAAATAAAGACAAACTAAAATAAAACAGAACAAAAGCAAAGAAAAAAATACTTTAGAAATGTAACTCCAGAGAGCCGTATTCTGCAGCTTCATTCCACCCCCCCTCCCCCCACAACTCTTAAGGAAGAGAAAAAAAGAGCACCACGCACGATTATTACCACCGCCCCAACCTTACGCACAGGAACTGAGTCAAAGACCAAAAAAACCAGACGAACCCGAAGGTGAAATTCTGGGTAGCAAAGCTAGTTGTTCTGTCACTGTGTTTAATTTTCTCTCTAAGTCTTACACCCCATCCAAACCCTCTTTGATTTATTTTTTCTTTTTCAATAAGACTCCTCCGATGACTGCTCTCCATTGCCAGAAAGGCAGTGGGAGCCCACCTGAAAGGAAGGAGGCGGGAGTGGCTGCTTGTTTAGGTGAAGTCCAAGTTTTCCAGTGACCCAGCCTATATACTCCTGTGGCCTGATTGGTCGGTGAGGGTCTTTAGGGAGAGAGCTGACTAAAAAGCAGAATTTTAGAGGCTCTGAAATAAATATTTATTTAGGAAAATAAAACAATTTAAATCAGGTTTTTCTCTATCTAGACGCGCTCTTATTGCTAAGATCTAGAAAACAGACCATTTCAAAATAAGCTTTTCCCTCCACTCATAGAACTTGCTTGCCCTTTAATTTATTTTCCTAAGTGGCTTATTTTAAACTACTGTTTGTTTTTTTTCTCTCTATTGATTCAAATAGATTGATGGGGTGGCAGACAGTAGGAGAGATACTCTGACCCGTTTTCTCCACAGATCAAGACCCATCTTACTCTTCTAGGTCCCCTTTCCTTCTCTTTTGGAGAACACGAAATCATTGAAATAGTGAGAAGTTTCTGCTTTCACTTGGAGCAGGACTTGGCTGTGAGAAAATCAGCTAAAATCCCAGATGAGAGAAAGACAGGCTTAAAGCCCTCCATTTATTTCAAAAAGGTCTGCATGTTGGGAGGGGGGGGAAGCAGAACAACTGTTTCATTATTATTACTATCCAAAAGTAATTTATTGCTGGGGATAAATGTTGGGTAGCAAGAACTTTAATTTGCACTATCAGTCTCCCAAATAGAAAATCATGTATAGTATTTCATAGTAATAATAAAGGTACTTTATGAACTGCTGATGGATTAAAAAGAGAGAAAACAATTGAAGGTGGTTAGGTTAAATGCCTGCTTGGTGCACAAGACACCCTTGATCTTGATTGGGTGGAGATGGTTTATTACCATCCTTTAGTAAGAACTAAAAAACTGAGAACAAATAAGACACAAGACTGAAACCATGCATGATCTGAAAGGTGCAGGAAGAAACACAACTAGATCTCACTCTGGTTAGGCATTATTTATTTAATTATGTTGTATATCATTGTTTGCAGCGCAAACATTCTATGCATTTGAAACTGAGCACTAAACTGGGCTAGCTTTCTGATAGACCGTTTTGTGGATAGTGTGATTTCACAGTCGACTGCCTGTTTTCACCGAAAACACAACATTCTTGTCATATTCTTGTATTTAGAGGAAAAGGAAAAAAGGAAGATTACTGTAAATATTTTCTTGAACGCACACACTCACACAGTGGTTACAAACTGCCAGTGTTAATCCTGAAATGCCTCACGGGTTGATTACCTGTCCATCAATGTCTGCTGAGCTTTTTCCTTGGTTATGTCTTTGCTCTATTATCTTTCCCTCCTCCCTTATCAGAACCACTTTTGTGCACCAAAATACAACAGAGAGATATGTCCCAGTACACTTACAAATAAAACATAACTGAAAGAAGAACAGTTTTATGATTTGGGTGCATTTTTGTGTTTCTACTGGGCCAAGTCCCAGTAGAGCCAGTCAACAAATGAGACTCAATTCAACCAAAAATACAGGGAAGGGGAGGATGTTTAAGTTGGGGGGGGGCGCACAAAGAGGGGAAAGGATGAGAATGATGTATTTTTCTGCTGAATCAGAATTCACTTTCAGATAACTCATGTGAAAGCGGTGCTCTTGAATAAAATGAATTCTATATTAGTTGTCTGTGTTTATCAAAGTTGTTTTTTTTTTTCTCTCTCTTCTAACTGCAGAATCTCTTCAAGCACAGCCCTCACTTCAGAGTGGTGGAAGGTAATAGCCAGGCACCTTCAAAATACTTGAATCAGGATTCAGGGGCAGAGGCATTTGGAGGTTTACATGTATTGTTCCAGTCTAAAAAAAAAAAAAAAAACGTTTCTAAGAAGATGTTGTAACTAAAGAACTTTTCTCTGGAGGTTAACATAAATAAAAACCATCCACTGATCTGTCCAGCCGTGGTGTCAAATGCCTCTGTTCATTTGGAACTGTAGTGTGCCACCTACTGCTGTGGAGGGATTAGAGATTCCTATTGGTGACCTGGGACTAGATCAGATGCCAAATGTATCAAGTTTCTTAATAGCTAGGCTTATATCTTCTGAAGTCATCCCACTTTAGCCAAATCTTTTTAATTTCACCGGCAAATCTGTGAAACAAAATGCTTGATGTTCAAAAAAAAAGAAGAGTACATTTTAAAAGCTGTGATTTTAAAGTTAATTTTTTTTAAAAGAGCATTAGAGGTATTTTTAAAAATAGATCTCTTCCATCAAAATTGATTTGTTATTAACTTGAAATGTCATCAAAGTTTTAAATAAAATGCATTTTTAAAAAATGTTATTTTATAGAAAAATATGACCAGATCTCATTGTTGGAAAACCAGGAATGAATAAACAATTTACAAAGGCTGTTTTTTTTTTAAAGTCTGCCCCAAATGGAAATGTTGCAAATATATTTGTATTATATAATGATGATCAATGTATGTAATAAGAACCTAAGCATTTGTTCTGTATTAAGTAAAATCTTTACCAAATAAAGAGAAGACAATATTATGTTAATAAAACAGATCATGAAAATACAGGCTTTGCAGAGTTTCCTATTTTACATTTTATGTAGTAGGAAACTGTGCAAAACAAGAAATGTCTTGCTATCTAGTAAGTGAATCTGTGTACTGTCCCAATGAATAATAAGACTATTCTAAGATACCTTTAACTGTCAAATAACTGTAAGGATACCTTTAACATGAAGAAACAAACAAGCCAACAAATGTCCTCCTGGAGAGGGTGCTAAGGCTTGCTACTCAGTGGTAGTTCGCCTTACCAAGTTTGCTGGTTCTGAAGAGCAGAACTTCAAGCGAATTCCTGCACCAGTCGTTGAGTGGAAATAGTGGGTGGTTCTTTTAAATAATGTCAAAATAAGTTGGAGAGAGTGGGGAAATTGTGCTGTGTTTGCATTTCAGCCTCTCAGGAAATCCAGGCGGAGGTGAAGTAGGAAAGGTAAAAGAAAAGCAAACATAAAATGCATCTGCTACGTTTAAGTCATCCACTCGTTTTAAATTTCCTTTTACCCAGTCCTAGTTCTGGGGCCCGCTCCTTCTGTCGGTCTAGGTAATGATGTCCTTAAGACGCTTCAACTAACTTTTGAATAGATTTTTGTTTAATGCGTGTTCTGAAATTGCTCTCAACTTCGATTACACTCTCATAAATAAACCGTAGGCACTCACTGCCGTGACTGTATCGATGTTTAATTTCTTGTGATACTAAGATGACTTCGGTCCCGTTCCTACACAAGGCTGCGCCAAAGGAGGACAGGGTGCCCTGGGTCCAGGACTCACCTGGCCAGCTAGCGCCCTCAGCTCCCTGCCCCGTCGTCCAGGTCTTTCCTGCCAATCTTGTCCGCAGCATCCCACCCCGTCTTTCACTTGGATTGGCTTTCATTCTCTAATTCATGAAGTTGGAATTGTGACTTTTGACCTGGCTAAAAGCAGCGTTCCCCACCCCATTCGAATGGTCTTGGCAGCCGGTGAGGTGACAAAGGTGATGATCACAATTACTCTCTGGTGTGGGTGAGCTGATGGGTGTTCCTGCTGCCGCAGTCTTAGCCCCAGTCCTCTCGAGTTGGGTTTCAAAGGAGAACGCAAGCTTAATTGATTTTTAAAAAATAGCAGCCGAATTCTAAATCTCACGGGGGACCTCTTTCCCACCTGAGAGATAAGTCTTGTCGTAATAATTACGTTATTTAATATTTGATCAAACCTCTGTGCCACCGCGGTTGGCGGGGGCCGGGCCGCCTCCCGCCCTCGCGGGGCAGCGGGCAAGCGGCGAGGCCCGAGCCGGGCCGGGAACGTGCGGCTGGGGCGCCCAGCAGTCCCGCTCGGGTCGGCTTGTCCTTTGAATAATTCATGGCCTGAGAGTTCTGGAAATTAATAAAATGAATGATAACAAGAAGCTAATTAAAAACTTTCGTAATTGTCTAGTCAGCTTGGTGGGAGACTGGCAGCCCTCCCTCCCCCAACTCTTCGAAATCCCGTGGCTCCGCTGGGCCGGGGGGCGCGGGCCCGGATGGGCCTCGAAACGCGAGCGGACAAACGCTCCTCCCGCTCCGGGAGTGATTTCAGAGGCGGCCCCGGATGCTGCTCCCTCCCCTCCAGCCCCCTACGGCATCTCGTCCGTCTCCCCG